GAGTTGAGATATGTAGAAGAATTCGTTTGTAGGTGTTTCTAACAGTGAAAAAAATCAATAAGAAAAGAAGATCTTTATGAACCAACATTCATACTTAATTACTAATTAATTGAAGTTNGGATGCTTGGTGGGGGCTACTCTCCACTCTCTACAATTTGTGGAGAGTGGATAGTTGGGATTGCGGACTCAATATGTTGTGACCCTTAATGCTTCTGACCCTAAGATTTCGGATTTTGACCTTAAAAATTTCTGACCCTTAAAAAAGTCTGACTGTCAAATATTTTTACCATATTATTTTTGACCCTTAAAATGAGGCCAACTCTCTACTATCTACTTTTTCNGGAAATCAAATGAGCGTCCAATCGATTTTTGGAGACCAAGTAGGAACTGATTGAAAGCTATAGCCAGAATGAGCTCGGATTCCTGTCTAAAGTCGTTTGTAGTTGTTTGGAGTACTTACAGATTTTCAATGCACCGAGAAAAAAGGCTGGCCGGGAGTTGAGATATGTAGAAGGATTTGTTTATAGTTGTTTNCTCTACAATTTGTGGAGAGTGGATAGTGGGGATTGCGGACTCAATATGTTGTGACCCTTAATGCTTCTGACTTNGGATTTGTTTATAGTTGTTTCTAACAGTGAAAAAAGACGGTAAAAAAGACTCCCATACCCAATGTTCATAATTAATTGTAGTTTTGGAATTTTTCCAATCCAATTTCAAATGAGCATCTAATCGATTTTTGGAGCCCAATCGGGAACTTGTTGACAGCTGTAGCCAAAATGAGCTCGGATCCCTGTCTAAAATGGTTTGTAGTTATTTGTAGTACTCACAGATTTCCAATGCACCGAGAAGAAAGGGTGGTCTAGAGTTGAGATATGTAGAAGAATTCGTTTGTAGGTATTTCTAACAGTGAAAAAAATCAATAAGAAAAGAAGATCTTTATGAACCAACGTTCATACTTAATTGTAGTTTTGCAATTTTTCCAATCCAAACTCAAACGAGCATCCAATCGATTTTTGGAGCCCAAGTAGGAACTTGTTGACAGATATAGCCAAAATGAGCTCGGATTCCTGTCTAAAATGGTTTGTAGTCGTTTG